TTCCAAGAAGTCACCAATTGCATCCTTGCTAACCTTTTAAGTACGTTTTTGTGAATTTTGACTCTATTTATCGATACAGAAGTAAATTAAGTGAATCAAAGCGACGAAAACCCTGTTATATACCAAAAATGGTTACAATAAGTTTTTTTTTAACCATACACACTACTGTATATGGTATAGTTTCTATTTTTTTTTTCTTTATTTCTTAATGACATTTACAACTGTATTACATAAATACATCAAGTAAATTTGGACATAATAGATATAATGACATGAATACACTTGCTGAGTAACTACCCAATGGTAGCACTCTACTGATATGACTACATTAGGAGATCACGGGGCCATCTTCTTTTCAGACGCCTCGGAGGGTTATCAGGAATTGAAGAGGAAGCAAGGTTAGAAACGAGAGGGTTGGGATGATTCTGAAGTTTATTATGGAAGGATAGGTATCTGGATTGGGCCAGATCTGAAACATAAGGAATATTAAGATCTTTGTGGATAATTTTATTAGTGACAAAGTAAGGAGCATTGAGGATTTTATGAAGGATTTTGGATTGTAAGGATTGGATGCGAGAGGAATTCGATGGTTTAGTGGAGCCCCATAGCTCAACTCCATAAGTCCAGATAGGTTTTATTACAGTCAAGTATATGAGTCTTTTGTAATTAATGGGAAGTTTAGAGCGTTTGTCTAGTAAGTGCTGAAGTAATCGGAAACGTCGAGCGATTTCTTGTCGTTTCAGTCTAGTATGAGGATTCCAAGTTAGTCGTTTGTCCAGGTGGAGTCCTAGGTACTGGATTTGCTCAACAGGGTTAAGTGGAGTATTGTTAAGGGAAACTGTAGGACAAGAAGTCGTTGGTTTACGACGAAGGGTAAAGGTAATCTGGTGGGATTTATTGGAGTTTATTTTAATTCTCCAGTTTTGACACCATTCTTCTAGATTTTTATTTTACATTTATAATTATTGTTGTAATATAGGTGTGAATATCTCTTAAACAAAGCATTTGCGGACATACCTTTAGAGAAAATTGTTTTCTTGTTTTGAGGACTTTAAATCATTTTTGCAGTTCGGCCACTTAACTCTGAAACACCGTGTATAACGGCAAAGAAAAACAAATTACAAGAAGAATCAATGACCTTAACTGTATATATATGTTTTTTTTTTCTAAATAATTAATACATTTGTATGATTTTGTATTAATGATCTCTTTAACTGGGTTTAAATTATACTAGCTTATTTTTTCTCATTTTTCTATACTTCATTAAATTAAATATATTATTCAAATTCATGTAGTTTGTTCACCTGTGAGCTCTTTTCCATTTATAATTATTGTTGTAATATATTAAAATTGGAATTTTAAGGTTTTATTTGTTATTTATCAGCTAATAGTCTTCATTCCAAGAACAAAACTTTTAATTGATCAAATAATTCACCATTCAAAGGAAATGAAATTGTTATTCAAACATTTCAATTATTTTTCCAATTCAAATTTCATTTTCACTTTATAACATGTTATACTCGAAATATAATGGAAGTTCGAAATTTATTTAAAATATAAAGAAAATGCTAATAATAAAAAATTAAAAAATAATTTATAGACTATTTAATGTTTTTAATATTTTGATATTATGTATTTTGTAAATCAACCAAAAATATCAAATTTTAAAAGACCTATATTGCTGGACAATTCCAATTCCAATTTTGGTTTTTTGTTATTTTTTAATGATTGTTTTATTAAAATCCTGAGGTAATGTTCTGAAAGCAGTTTGCTTTTCATTAGTAACTACTGACTTTCAAAGTGTCTTCTTTTAAGTGAAATTAATACTTGAAATGACCGATTCCAAAATATTATAATCAAACTGCTCCACTACAATAAATATCTAATAGCCCTATATCTAAAAAAATGGATTTAACTGGAAAAAAAACAACACTGATATAGAGAAAAAGATCTAAGGAGTAAAGAACAAAATTTCCTCTGGTGGTATTTCCGCAAACGCTTTGTTTAGGAGATATTCACACCTAAATACTTTCAATGTTATGCATTGTTTGTGTTACATGAAATAAATAAAACCTATTTACTTGTTGTAACTACTTTGTTAATTAAATGTACACATTAACATTCTTATTAAATTTTGTTCGAAGTGATTTCCTTGAGCATTACCACAGGCTCGGAATCTTATGTCGACAGCAGCAGTGGCAGAACGGCACTGGATAAGTGTTATTGTTTCACAAGATTCGGGTAAGACCAGTGGCTTGGCCTGCACCACCTGGCACCACTGGATTTTTTTATTTGGGGTGACATTAAATAAAAATTCTATGCAAGTCCGGTCAATGACTTTAATTCCTTACGAAGAAGGATAATTGAATCTTGTGAAACAATAACACATATCCACACATATTTCCACAAATGCTTTGTTTAGGAGATATTCACACCTAAATACTTTCAATGTTATGCATTGTTTGCGTTACATGAAATTTAAAAGCAGTTTGCTTTTCATTAGTAACTACTGACTTTCGAAGTGTCTTCTTTTAAATGAAATTAATACTTGAAATGACCGATTCCTAAATCTTATTATCAAACTGCTCCACTAGAATAATTATCATTGATTAAATAACAACAGCTGTGGAAAAAACGAAATTTAATACTAAACAATTAATACAAAATAAAGGGGTTACATTACTTTTAAGTTCTTCTCCAACCTGTGAGAGAAGAGGTTTCACCTCATCTGAGTAATTAGAACCCCAAGGTGCTCTATCTGTTTTTAGGAATAGATAGAGAAAATAACACCTTTCCTGTTGCAGAATTATTTTAATATGGGTAGTAATATCGGTACTCCTTGAATTCGAAAGCATGAAATGTGACGTTTACTGGAATAGGACATTCTGTATTAATACTTATTAATGAATATTAATTCACCAACTTAGCCAACTAAAAATTATGTTTAAATGATATATTTAATACGAAAATATAATATCTAATAGCCCTATATCTAAAAAAATGGATTTAACTGGAAAAAAAAAACACTGATATAGAGAAAAAGATCTAAGGAGTAAAGAACAAAATTTCCTCTGGTGGTATTTCCGCAAACGCTTTGTTTAGGAGATATTCACACCTAAATACTTTCAATGTTATGCATTGTTTGTGTTACATGAAATAAATAAAACCTATTTACTTGTTGTAACTACTTTGTTAATTAAATGTACACATTAACATTCTTATTCAATTTTGTTCAAAGTGATTTCCTTGAGCATTACCACAGGCTCGGAATCTTATGTCGACAGCAGCAGTGGCAAAACGGCACTGGATAAGTGTTATTGTTTCACAAGATTCGGGTAAGACCAGTGGCTTGGCCTGCACCACCTGGCACCACTGGATTTTTTTATTTGGGGTGACATTAAATAAAAATTCTATGCAAGTCCGGTCAATGACTTTAATTCCTTACGAAGAACGATAATTGAATCTTGTGAAACAATAACACATATCCACACATATTTCCACAAATGCTTTGTTTAGGAGATATTCACACCTAAATACTTTCAATGTTATGCATTGTTTGCATTACATGAAATTTAAAAGCAGTTTGCTTTTCATTAGTAACTACTGACTTTCAAAGTGTCTTCTTTTAAATGAAATTAATACTTGAAATGACCGATTCCTAAATCTTATAATCAAACTGCTCCGCTACAATAATTATCATTGATTAAATAACAACAGCTGTGGAAAAAACGAAATTTAATACTAAACAATTAATACAAAATAAAGGGGTTACATTACTTTTAAGTTCTTCTCCAACCTGTGAGAGAAGAGGTTTCACCTCATCTGAGTAATTAGAACCCCAAGGTGCTCTATCTGTTTTTAGGAATAGATAGAGAAAATAACACCTTTCCTGTTGCAGAATTATTTTAATATGGGTAGTAATATCGGTACTCCTTGAATTCGAAAGCATGAAATGTGACGTTTACTGGAATAGGACATTCTGTATTAATACTTATTAATGAATATTAATTCACCAACTTAGCCAACTAAAAATTATGTTTAAATGATATATTTAATACGAAAATATAATATCTAATAGCCCTATATCTAAAAAAATGGATTTAACTGGAAAAAAAAAAACACTGATATAGAGAAAAAGATCTAAGGAGTAAAGAACAAAATTTCCTCTGGTGGTATTTCCGCAAACGCTTTAGTTAGGAGATATTCACACCTAAATACTTTCAATGTTATGCATTGTTTGTGTTACATGAAATAAATAAAACCTATTTACTTGTTGTAACTACTTTGTTAATTAAATGTACACATTAACATTCTTATACAATTTTGTTCAAAGTGATTTCCTTGAGCATTACCACAGGCTCGGAATCTTATGTCGACAGCAGCAGTGGCAAAACGGCACTGGATAAGTGTTATTGTTTCACAAGATTTGGGTAAGACCAGTGGCTTGGCCTGCACCACCTGGCACCACTGGATTTTTTTATTTGGGGTGACATTAAATAAAAATTCTATGCAAGTCCGGTCAATGACTTTAATTCCTTACGAAGAAGGATAATTGAATCTTGTGAAACAATAACACATATCCACACATATTTCCACAAATGCTTTGTTTAGGAGATATTCACACCTAAATACTTTCAATGTTATGCATTGTTTGCGTTACATGAAATTTAAAAGCAGTTTGCTTTTCATTAATAACTACTGACTTTCGAAGTGTCTTCTTTTAAATGAAATTAATACTTGAAATGACCGATTCCTAAATCTTATAATCAAACTGCTCCACTACAATAATTATCATTGATTAAATAACAACAGCTGTGGAAAAAACGAAATTTAATACTAAACAATTAATACAAAATAAAGGGGTTACATTACTTTTAAGTTCTTCTCCAACCTGTGAGAGAAGAGGTTTCACCTCATCTGAGTAATTAGAACCGCAAGGTCCTCTATCTGTTTTTAGGAATAGATAGAGAAAATAACACCTTTCCTGTTGCAGAATTATTTTAATATGGGTAGTAATATCGGTACTCCTTGAATTCGAAAGCATGAAATGTGACGTTTACTGGAATAGGACATTCTGTATTAATACTTATTAATGAATATTAATTCACCAACTTAGCCAACTAAAAATTATGTTTAAATGATATATTTAATACGAAAATATAATATCTAATAGCCCTATATCTAAAAAAATGGATTTAACTGGAAAAAAAGAACACTGATATAGAGAAAAAGATCTAAGGAGTAAAGAACAAAATTTCCTCTGGTGGTATTTCCGCAAACGCTTTGTTTAGGAGATATTCACACCTAAATACTTTCAATGTTATGCATTGTTTGTGTTACATGAAATAAATAAAACCTATTTACTTGTTGTAACTACTTTGTTAATTAAATGTACACATTAACATTCTTATTCAATTTTGTTCAAAGTGATTTCCTTGAGCATTACCACAGGCTCGGAATCTTATGTCGGCAGCAGCAGTGGCAGAACGGCACTGGATAATGTTATTGTTTCACAAGATTCGGGTAAGACCAGTGGCTTGGCCTGCACCACCTGGCACCACTGGATTTTTTTATTTGGGGTGACATTAAATAAAAATTCTATGCAAGTCCGGTCAATGACTTTAATTCCTTACGAAGAAGGATAATTGAATCTTGTGAAACAATAACACATATCCACACATATTTCCACAAATGCTTTGTTTAGGAGATATTCCACCTAAATACTTTCAATGTTATGCATTGTTTGCGTTACATGAAATTTAAAAGCAGTTTGCTTTTCATTAGTAACTACTGACTTTCGAAGTGTCTTCTTTTAAATGAAATTAATACTTGAAATGACCGATTCCTAAATCTTATAATCAAACTGCTCCACTACAATAATTATCATTGATTAAATAACAACAGCTGTGGAAAAAACGAAATTTAATACTAAACAATTAATACAAAATAAAGGGGTTACATTACTTTTAAGTTCTTCTCCAACCTGTGAGAGAAGAGGTTTCACCTCATCTGAGTAATTAGAACCCCAAGGTGCTCTATCTGTTTTTAGGAATAGATAGAGAAAATAACACCTTTCCTGTTGCAGAATTATTTTAATATGGGTAGTAATATCGGTACTCCTTGAATTCGAAAGCATGAAATGTGACGTTTACTGGAATAGGACATTCTGTATTAATACTTATTAATGAATATTAATTCACCAACTTAGCCAACTAAAAATTATGTTTAAATGATATATTTAATACGAAAATATAATATCTAATAGCCCTATATCTAAAAAAATGGATTTAACTGGAAAAAAAAAAAAACACTGATATAGAGAAAAAGATCTAAGGAGTAAAGAACAAAATTTCCTCTGGTGGTATTTCCGCAAACGCTTTGTTTAGGAGATATTCACACCTAAATACTTTTAATGTTATGCATTGTTTCTGTTACATGAAATAAATAAAACCTATTTACTTGTTGTAACTACTTTGTTAATTAAATGTACACATTAACATTCTTATTCAATTTTGTTCAAAGTGATTTCCTTGAGCATTACCACAGGCTCGGAATCTTATGTCGACAGCAGCAGTGGCAAAACGGCACTGGATAAGTGTTATTGTTTCACAAGATTCGGGTAAGACCAGTGGCTTGGCCTGCACCACCTGGCACCACTGGATTTTTTTATTTGGGGTGACATTAAATAAAAATTCTATGCAAGTCCGGTCAATGACTTTAATTCCTTACGAAGAAGGATAATTGAATCTTGTGAAACAATAACACATATCCACACATATTTCCACAAATGCTTTGTTTAGGAGATATTCACACCTAAATACTTTCAATGTTATGCATTGTTTGCATTACATGAAATTTAAAAGCAGTTTGCTTTTCATTAGTAACTACTGACTTTCAAAGTGTCTTCTTTTAAATGAAATAATACTTGAAATGACCGATTCCTAAATCTTATAATCAAACTGCTCCGCTACAATAATTATCATTGATTAAATAACAACAGCTGTGGAAAAAACGAAATTTAATACTAAACAATTAATACAAAATAAAGGGGTTACATTACTTTTAAGTTCTTCTCCAACCTGTGAGAGAAGAGGTTTCACCTCATCTGAGTAATTAGAACCCCAAGGTGCTCTATCTGTTTTTAGGAATAGATAGAGAAAATAACACCTTTCCTGTTGCAGAATTATTTTAATATGGGTAGTAATATCGGTACTCCTTGAATTCGAAAGCATGAAATGTGACGTTTACTGGAATAGGACATTCTGTATTAATACTTATTAATGAATATTAATTCACCAACTTAGCCAACTAAAAATTATGTTTAAATGATATATTTAATACGAAAATATAATATCTAATAGCCCTATATCTAAAAAAATGGATTTAACTGGAAAAAAAAAAACACTGATATAGAGAAAAAGATCTAAGGAGTAAAGAACAAAATTTCCTCTGGTGGTATTTCCGCAAACGCTTTGTTTAGGAGATATTCACACCTAAATACTTTCAATGTTATGCATTGTTTGTGTTACATGAAATAAATAAAACCTATTTACTTGTTGTAACTACTTTGTTAATTAAATGTACACATTAACATTCTTATTCAATTTTGTTCAAAGTGATTTCCTTGAGCATTACCACAGGCTCGGAATCTTATGTCGACAGCAGCAGTGGCAAAACGGCACTGGATAAGTGTTATTGTTTCACAAGATTTGGGTAAGACCAGTGGCTTGGCCTGCACCTCCTGGCACCACTGGATTTTTTTATTTGGGGTGACATTAAATAAAAATTCTATGCAAGTCCGGTCAATGACTTTAATTCCTTACGAAGAAGGATAATTGAATCTTGTGAAACAATAACACATATCCACACATATTTTTACAAATGCTTTGTTTAGGAGATATTCACACCTAAATACTTTCAATGTTATGCATTGTTTGCATTACATGAAATTTAAAAGCAGTTTGCTTTTCATTTGTAACTACTGACTTTCAAAGTGTCTTCTTTTAAATGAAATTAATACTTGAAATGACCGATTCCTAAATCTTATAATCAAACTGCTCCGCTACAATAATTATCATTGATTAAATAACAACAGCTGTGGAAAAAACGAAATTTAATACTAAACAATTAATACAAAATAAAGGGGTTACATTACTTTTAAGTTCTTCTCCAACCTGTGAGAGAAGAGGTTTCACCTCATCTGAGTAATTAGAACCCCAAGGTGCTCTATCTGTTTTTAGGAATAGATAGAGAAAATAACACCTTTCTTGTTGCAGAATTATTTTAATATGGGTAGTAATATCGGTACTCCTTGAATTCGAAAGCATGAAATGTGACGTTTACTGGAATAGGACATTCTGTATTAATACTTATTAATGAATATTAATTCACCAACTTAGCCAACTAAAAATTATGTTTAAATGATATATTTAATACGAAAATATAATATCTAATAGCCCTATATCTAAAAAAATGGATTTAACTGGAAAAAAAGAACACTGATATAGAGAAAAAGATCTAAGGAGTAAAGAACAAAATTTCCTCTGGTGGTATTTCCGCAAACGCTTTGTTTAGGAGATATTCACACCTAAATACTTTCAATGTTATGCATTGTTTGTGTTACATGAAATAAATAAAACCTATTTACTTGTTGTAACTACTTTGTTAATTAAATGTACACATTAACATTCTTATTCAATTTTGTTCAAAGTGATTTCCTTGAGCATTACCACAGGCTCGGAATCTTATGTCGACAGCAGCAGTGGCAAAACGGCACTGGATAAGTGTTATTGTTTCACAAGATTCGGGTAAGACCAGTGGCTTGGCCTGCACCACCTGGCACCACTGGATTTTTTTATTTGGGGTGACATTAAATAAAAATTCTATGCAAGTCCGGTCAATGACTTTAATTCCTTACGAAGAAGGATTTGAATCTTGTGAAACAATAACACAAACACATATTTCCACAAATGCTTTGTTTAGGAGATATTCACACCTAAATACTTTCAATGTTATGCATTGTTTGCATTACATGAAATTTAAAAGCAGTTTGCTTTTCATTAGTAACTACTGTCTTTCAAAGTGTCTTCTTTTAAATGAAATTAATACTTGAAATGACCGATTCCTAAATCTTATAATCAAACTGCTCCGCTACAATAATTATCATTGATTAAATAACAACAGCTGTGGAAAAAACGAAATTTAATACTAAACAATTAATACAAAATAAAGGGGTTACATTACTTTTAAGTTCTTCTCCAACCTGTGAGAGAAGAGGTTTCACCTCATCTGAGTAATTAGAACCGCAAGGTCCTCTATCTGTTTTTAGGAATAGATAGAGAAAATAACACCTTTCCTGTTGCAGAATTATTTTAATATGGGTAGTAATATCGGTACTCCTTGAATTCGAAAGCATGAAATGTGACGTTTACTGGAATAGGACATTCTGTATTAATACTTATTAATGAATATTAATTCACCAACTTAGCCAACTAAAAATTATGTTTAAATGATATATTTAATACGAAAATATAATATCTAATAGCCCTATATCTAAAAAAATGGATTTAACTGGAAAAAAAGAACACTGATATAGAGAAAAAGATCTAAGGAGTAAAGAACAAAATTTCCTCTGGTGGTATTTCCGCAAACGCTTTGTTTAGGAGATATTCACACCTAAATAATTTCAATGTTATGCATTGTTTGTGTTACATGAAATAAATAAAACCTATTTACTTGTTGTAACTACTTTGTTAATTAAATGTACACATTAACATTCTTATTCAATTTTGTTCAAAGTGATTTCCTTGAGCATTACCACAGGCTCGGAATCTTATGTCGGCAGCAGCAGTGGCAGAACGGCACTGGATAATGTTATTGTTTCACAAGATTCGGGTAAGACCAGTGGCTTGGCCTGCACCACCTGGCACCACTGGATTTTTTTATTTGGGGTGACATTAAATAAAATTCTATGCAAGTCCGGTCAATGACTTTAATTCCTTACGAAGAAGGATAATTGAATCTTGTGAAACAATAACACATATCCACACATATTTCCACAAATGCTTTGTTTAGGAGATATTCACACCTAAATACTTTCAATGTTATGCATTGTTTGCGTTACATGAAATTTAAAAGCAGTTTGCTTTTCATTAGTAACTACTGACTTTCGAAGTGTCTTCTTTTAAATGAAATTAATACTTGAAATGACCGATTCCTAAATCTTATAATCAAACTGCTCCACTACAATAATTATCATTGATTAAATAACAACAGCTGTGGAAAAAAACGAAATTTAATACTAAACAATTAATACAAATAAAGGGGTTACATTACTTTTAAGTTCTTCTCCAACCTGTGAGAGAAGAGGTTTCACCTCATCTGAGTAATTAGAACCCCAAGGTGCTCTATCTGTTTTTAGGAATAGATAGAGAAAATAACACTTTCCTGTTGCAGAATTATTTTAATATGGGTAGTATATCGGTACTCCTTGAATTCGAAAGCATGAAATGTGAGGTTTACTGGAATAGGACATTCTGTATTAATACTTATTAATGAATATTAATTCACCAACTTAGCCAACTAAAAATTATGTTTAAATGATATATTTAATACGAAAATATAATATCTAATAGCCCTATATCTAAAAAAATGGATTTAACTGGAAAAAAAAAAAAACACTGATATAGAGAAAAAGATCTAAGGAGTAAAGAACAAATTTCTCTGGTGGTATTTCCGCAAACGCTTTGTTTAGGAGATATTCACACCTAAATACTTTCAATGTTATGCATTGTTTCTGTTACATGAAATAAATAAAACCTATTTACTTGTTGTAACTACTTTGTTAATTAAATGTACACATTAACATTCTTATTCAATTTTGTTCAAAGTGATTTCCTTGAGCATTACCACAGGCTCGGAATCTTATGTCGACAGCAGCAGTGGCAAAACGGCACTGGATAAGTTTTGTTTCACAAGATTTGGGTAAGACCAGTGGCTTGGCCTGCACCTCCTGGCACCACTGGATTTTTTTTATTTGGGGTGACATTAAATAAAAATTCTATGCAAGTCCGGTCAATGACTTTAATTCCTTAGAAGAAGGATAATTGAATCTTGTGAAACAATAACACATATCCA